ATCGAATTAACATCTCTTGAGAGTTCGTTGAAATACACATCTGATATTTCAAAGATTAATTAAATCTATTTACACATATCCTTCCCTTTGGGGTGCGAAGGAGAGGGTGCGACTCCAGAATGCTTAGTTTAAAACGTGATGGATTTAAAACAACTGGCACACACACACACACACACACACAATGCGCGTTAACATCGTTCTGCTTTAATCGAAAGCTCTCCTTGAAAATCGAGAGCCATCGCCGAGAGCCTTCGTTCAATTAGATTCGCGATACTCGAAGGCGAGACGATGAAATTCGATCGCGTCGCGATATGGATCGCTATTGACATTTCGCGTAGCGTGTACGCAACTATATAATTTACGATGAGGTAAATTCGGGAAAAAGCAATCCGCGCTTTCGGGAGACAAGAGACAAGGGGGATGGTGACGATGACGGCGTCTCTCTGACTCACCCTCGCCATCCGAAGAATTATGGGCGCCGAGTGTTCACCTTCTCGTAAAAATTCGGAGATTCTTTTCTCTATGGATAAATCCTGGGGAACACGTTTTCATTATCACGACGCGTTAAACGCGAGCACTAATTGCTTTCTTCCGGGAATAGAATAAATGTCGAGGTGCCAAGGAACGAGTTTTTTTTTCGACTATATAAATAGATCATCTCTTGTACATTTGTCACATTGTGAATTTCGAATTTTTAAAAGAGGCATCGAGTTTTTACGCACAGTTGTCACATATGCAGATATCGCGCAGCAGGTATCGCGGTTTTATCATATTTCTATAGAAACGTGAGAAGCCGCGAGAAACGTGACTTTACGAGCGTAACTTTTTTTTCAGTCGTCGCGATTATCGTACGACCATCTTCACATTGAAATCAATGGTTCTTTTTTCTCTCTCTCTCTCCTCTCTCTCTCTCGCTTGGAGATACTTAAGAATGACGGATGACTCTGAAATCATTAATTGCGTAACTGTGCGCATTTTTGCTACGTGTGAGGTCCGTGTGTTATTTTTGATGTATCTAATAAATAAATTCAAAGTAGATGGAAAAAAACCTACAATCTTTTTCACACGCCAGCGATGTTAATTTGTGATCATATGATATTTTTACGATAAGTGACAGCGCGAGAGCATATAAAGGATCAACGACCTCTCCAACCCTTTGATCCGAGTTGTAAATTTCAATTAAGACTCGGATAAAATATATGTATTGGGCAAACAATTTCGAAATAAAAGACTCGTTTATTATCGATTTTTATTTAATGTGCAATCATTAATATTCAACCGTCCGCGCTCTTTCTTTCATTTACAATTGTACAAATTCAAGCCGGTTAACAGCAGCCATAGTTGATGGCAGCCCGATAGCTCTTAAGAAAGTATCTAAATTTAAGAAGTAGCCCCACACCCTTCTCCTTTCGATACGACGCGTGGCCTGTCATCTGTGCTTCCTTGTAATGCGAACGTTGAAATTGGAAGAGAGCAAAAGCGATAGAGCGTAGCGGCCAGGGGGATGCGTGTTAACCAGAGCGAGCGACAGAGAAAGAGAAAGAAGGAGACGGAGCCGAAAGGCGACATGCGAAAAAATACTCTCTTGGCACTCGGCTTCGGCAGACAACGAGATAAATACACGCGTGGGTGCGGCTCGACGATGTCTACGGGCCACACGCCACGTTTCAAGGATCGAGCGAGAGCGAACCACGTGAATCCGAATGAGGGGAACGACGGGAAGAAAAAATTAATGTAAGAGAGCAAAACACGCCGATGTGTTACAGAGACGAGGAGAGTTCTTACTCACGTTTTAAGTGCGCCGACGACGTTTTAATGGCGCATCAGGTAGGAGCAATGCGCCTCGTCCTTGCGGGATTACTCCGCTAGTCCCCTTTGATTGTCGTCTCTTGCGAGGATATTTATGCGTTGTCGGGATAAATAGGGAGGAGACCAACGAGGGCTTCGGGTGGATGCAGGGGAACGTATAATTAACGATCGAACCACGGGGGTGCATAAAGGTCCCGCGTGAGTGATATGCGCGCGCGACCGTCGAAAAATCTCATCTGATTAACGAAATTCGTCGTCGCTCGCGTTTTTCTCCTCTTTTGCCATATTTTTAATACGGACGATACGGAGAGAAATTAAAAGGGACTCTGTTTTCGCTATTTATCTTCATTGTAATAATTTTGCGAATTACATTAAACGGAAAGAAGAAGAAAAATTTAGATATATATATATATAACTTTTCATGATATATCAAAATGAAAAAAAAAAGAAGTAAATTATACATCTCAGTGTAAATCATATAGTAGTTAAAAAAAAATGGTTTATTAATGTGAACGCGGCGCGATCTTGCCTGAAGTTAATCCGCATTATCAACTTGCGAATTGCCAATTATAAATCATTACAGAGCGCAAATCACTTCGGTACATTGCCAGAGTGCGAGATGCCGAACGTATATCTCGTGATTTATACGACGTCGCGTCATTACGCTCACGGGTGGCAAATTACGGACTAACTATAATTTATAGCCAATAAATATGGCGCAATGTTGTGCGCGAGCGAGGCTGCTACCGTCATATTCAATGACCGCGACACAATCGATTTAACAATCGAATAGAATAACGATTTATATCAATTCCTTGCGGAAAGTACAAAAGAAATATTTCCATCGTAGTTTCTCCCTCTCTTCTTAATATCGCAAATGCACTTTCTAGGTGGTATACTCGTATATGTACATGTAATGATATATTTTTACATAATCTATTATTCATTTCAACGCTAATCTTTAATACAGTATCGAAAAAAATACGCGGCAAATTTCTTTTTTTTTTTTTTTTTATTCTGCCCGTTCATTAAAAAAGCAATTAATCATAAAGTTGACGTAACTTTCAAGTAATTTAAACAGAAGTGACAACGTCGAATATTATATTGGTGTAATCACTTCCCTCATAGTAATTGTGTTGTCAAAATTTAATCATTTAAGGTTCCACGGTGTCCCTTTTTCGCATTCTGCGTGTGCAGATAATTCAATTTCTCGTCTCTCTATATATGAAAGAGGAAATCGAGATACCCGAATCGCATCGTAGCTTCACGGATACAATTGAATTTTGATGCGTCATGCGTTCATCTCCATCCGTCTCAGCACCAAAATGGATTAGGAACAAAGTATTAGAACTTTGTACACCATCAATCATCTACAAAAAATATTATTTCCATCAATTTTTTCCCCATCGTATTTTTTTATCCATTACACGATTCTCTTCGAAACGCGCGTTCGCGATAATGTATGATTTATTTTAATAATTTATTTTAATATTTTAATAAAAAAAAAGTAAGGAAAGAATGATCTCTCCGACCCTTCGATTAACAGTCGCATCTCAGCGATTAATTTTGCACGCGGACACGATAAATAGGATACTTATGGAAGAGAAACGGCTGAATCTCGGAAATCCACCCTGTCGGTGTTTTAATAACACACGTGTCTGCGTTCTCGCACGTGAACACGTTGCAGGCACACGACACAGCATGGGGTATGCAGCAGAATATTTGTCTTATTTCTTCGATAAAAGGGCGCTCTGTTTATGCTTCGCATTTCAGGCCAGCCGATTTCCTTTGTAATATCCAACGCGGGATACAGTGCGTAGCTCGGGGTGATCGTATCATCATAGATTTCATCGTGGAAATCAAGACGCTTATATATCCGAGATATTTTTTCGATCGTGATATGATGGATCGATCGCTGATAAATTCGCGGCCGTTCGATCGCGCGAAATATATAAATATAAACGATCTCGATTTAATTCATTCGGTTCTGCGGATCGGACTTTGGGAGAAATCGGATTTAAAGATTACTCCTACGTTGGGGAATCTCTGACAAATCGAACGGGCGACACACCCAACCGGCTAATGCATGAATAACGTCCGTTGGAAGTAGCAAAAATGTAAATCTTGAGTGGAAATTTTTCGCCGATCAAGGACACAGAAATAAAACTTATAGTTTCTTTAGGAAATCTCTCATATTGCATCTCATTAATGCAATTTCATAGTTAATTTCGATTTTTTTTTTGAACACAGAAATACAATTTGTTATGCGAAAGATGAACCGAGAAAAATAGAAAGAAACCAAATGTTCATTTGAAATGGTAATATTAAAAACTTTTCCTTTCTGAATTGCTAAATAGCAGAATAAAATAAAGAAACAAAAACTTTGAGAGAAGAAAATATTAATTCTAAATATTTGAAATCCAAATTAATCAAGCGAGTTGTCTCTATTGAAAAGCAATATTATTTGTAGAATATTTGACATCGAAGCCTTCATGAAATTGTAATACAAGTTTGCACACATTTTTTATTTTTTGCGATTATTTTTATATTTAATTTTCCAATTAATTTTGCAAAAATATTCTGTGAGATTCTTGTTACTCTTTCTTTGACATTAATGACACTAGCAAAGTTTCTCGTATAAAAGACATATAAGGGTGCAAAAATGGTTGAATCCGCTCGATCTTACGCAAGAGTGTTAGCGAAAAACTTTCTCCGTTTAAATCAAAGCACTCTGAGATAGGTGAGATAGGACAATATATAGAGTTTCTCTGATGAATATTTAGCACAATAAAAAATATGAATATGTACATATCAATTTTTGATATCTTATTGCGGTAGATATTTAAAATTCTTGCAATATATACCATATTGTGTGTTGAGCCAGAGAGAATTTTCTCTTAGAATTTACCTTAAAAATCATGGTGATCGTACAACAATACGATATTGGAAGAATTTTATAAGAGTTTCTCCGATCAATATTTATCGCAACAAAAATATGAATATCTCCTACAGTAAGATATAAAATACATTGCATCAATATTAATAATTGTATCGCGTGAATACGAATGAGAAATGGTTCCAATACCATATCGTCCCACGATCTTCATAATACCTCAAGGGAATAAATTCCGAGAGAAAATTGTGACCGTGTAGGGATCGTTGCGCGCGGGAATGTAGAGAATGTTCGATACCTGGTGAGACGGCGAGCGCGAGGAAGGCAGCTGCGGCAACGACGAAGAGTATCCTGAGCGCGTTTCCCGATCGTCTTCTGCCGGGCCTCTTCTGTACGGCGCGACAGCGGCAGGAATCGTCATCGCGGGAACAGACCCTCGTGGAGTCGGACGGTCGGCGGGGTTGCAGATCGAGAACGATGTAGGCCTCTTCCTCCTCATCCTCCTCCTCCTCCTCCCCCTCCTCATCCCCGTAGGGCTCTTCCTCGCCGTCGGCGGCCGCCGTTGTCGCTCGACGTCGACGCGGCGATCTCGCTCGGCCGCCGCTGCCGGCACGTTCGATCGCCGGCTCGCCTCGATACATGGCCTGCGGGTGCAGCGACGACGACGGTGGCCAGCAACGTGCCACCGGGGTCGGCTGCGCTCGTCAACGTATCCTACCCGCGGTGGCCGCGACTACACCCACGCCAGTACTACTACCTGCCCGGTCCGTCACCCCGCCTGCGACACCGTGCGACCTCCTGGCGACACGATCGCTGCTGCGAGGCATTACCGCGACCTGGGCCGACGACTCTCCGAGCAGCCACCAGCAGAGCCCCGCACACACCAACCAACCGACGACGATCAACCACTGACTACTTTCCCTCTCCGGCCGATCTCTTCTCCCCGTTTCCTTTGTTTCGACGTTGCTTCAGGAGGACGACGACCCGCGATGCGACGACGCTGCCTCTTTTCACGTGACACGGCGATAAACGGTGAAGGAACCTCGAAGAACCAGAAGCCCTCTAACGCGTCTCTGTCTCTGCACCCTCTCACTTTCAGGCCGTCTTTTGTTATGCCTTCTCTACGCGAGACACGACGAGACCACCGAGTCGCAAAAAGAAAACTAAGCCGACCGCAGCTCGTGCGTCGTCCAACGCGCCCGGACACTACCACCGTCCGGTAGGAAGTGTCGGCTGCCACGAGGTGAACATCTCTGCGAGGTCTTGCCAGCGGCGGCGGCGGCGTCGGTGGTGGTGGAGGCGGCAACAGTACCGGTGGTAGTGGTAGCACCGTAAAGGCGGTAGTAGCGGCGATGGCAGCTGCAGCTGGTGGTGCACGGTGGTCCCGGTGGGTACTTGGAATTCGTAATAACGCAATCGGACGATAAGTTTACGAGTCGTCTAGGAATTAGGTCTGGCGAAAGGGTTCGTTCCCTCTTTCTCGTTATATTAAAATAGAATTCGCGCGAAATAGATATCATCCAACCCCTATCTATCTATCTAGCCGTATCTCTTCATAGACGTTTACGTTCTCTGCTGCTCGCGGATGAGAGCGATCCGTCACCGTGAACTCTCGCTCGCGCACTGCCGTGGCTCTTTCGCTCCACTGACTGGGGGATAACGCGCCGGCTGCCAACAGGCCAGGCAGTGGTGGTGAAGCTCTCTAGTACACGGCCAGCTACTAAGCAGCACCACGCACGACGGGCAGCCTCACGACTGCCCTCGACTGCCGTAAGTGTGTGTCTGTTGCTCGCCCGTCCGTGTCGTGTCGTGTCGGCGCGGAGCGGCGCGACCTCGCGCGCAGGCGGCGTCGGCGTCGACGTGCGTCGAGCGGAACGGCGACGACGCCGTTAGTCGGCGTAGCTGCGAGCGAGCGGATGCCGGCTTGGTGGAAGCCAGAGAGACGACGGCCGATGCTTCTTTTTCGTTCCCTCGCTCGCTATTGGGACCAACGACGACGACGGTGGTGGTGGAGGCGGCAGCAGCATCGCCGCCGCCGCCGCCACCACCACCGTTGCCACCGCCACCGCCGCCGCCGCGACGACGACGACGTCGCGATGGTCCCGCGGAGGAGCGCCTCGTCGATGCCATCGGCCTGGGCCGAAATCGATGCCCCGCAACGCGGCGTCTGAAACGCGGCACCCCCGTCGACCTGTGTGTGCCACACACCACGGGCTACATACCCGCCTTACCCCCGGCGCGGATATACCGGGTGTCCTATTTTGCCCCCGATCGTCGTCCGCTCTTCGATTTCTTGCTCATTTGTTTTCAGAAATGACACTTGCCTAAAGAGAGAGGTAAAAAAATTTGGTGGATTTCTTTCAATATTAAAAAGGATATTTATTCATTTTTACCTCCCTCTTTAGAAAAGTGTAACTACTCAGGGATATAAAAGTATATGAAACCTTCTTAATTTTCGATAAAGAATCATCTAATTTTTCGCACTTATTATATCGTAAAGCGAGATTTAAATGAATATTTTACATGCAAAGGGAATGAAAAGTACATAGGATAGCTTGAGAAAATAATACATCGCAATTATATCATTTAAGATGACTTGGAAGTAAAAAGTAAAGAGTGGAATGAAACGTTTCCAATGTTCGTTTTTCATCTTCTAATAAAAATGTCTCTTTGTTTTTAGAAAATACAAGTTTCTGATTTTTAGAACTAAAAAGCGACACACCTCGTTTATGCACAACCCCGCGTACAAAAGATCACGAATATATATATTATTCTGTCAAGCAAATGTATACTGAACAAATACAAATATATGTACATTTATGCTACGTGCAAATTTGGATACGGATATACATGTGTTAGTATACACAGGCATGCGGCAATACTGTGTACACACTGTCGACACACCGAGAGATGTATAGACACAAATAAGCAATCGAACTCATGTACAAGTACACGGATATATATGTTGAAAGTGTTGGAGAGACGTGCCAGGAAGAGGCGAGGTCTTGTGCGGGAAGAATTTCCTTCGATTTATCAGTTACGTATAAAATATGCCTTGCCTCATTATACATATTCGGCATATTACTCAAAAGTATATATATCCCTGTATTTCTCAATTGAAAAGTCATCTGTAAATAAATAGTAAATTGATATAACAGGGATGTATCATATATACAACTCAATTTGTGTAATTTTCTTATTAAATTACAGATGTTTCGAATAAATTAGGATCAGCACTCACAGCTATATATTTGTCTAGATATATTTTTAGAGATAATAAATTAACCAACGATCCTCTTTCTTTTTTCTTTCGCAAATAAATGTGCGCGTATGCGGTAAGTAATATATGCCGACCAGTAATATATATATCGAGTCCAGAGTTTGCGAGAAAGTTTTTCTTTTATCACTCTTATCACATCACGTGAATATGCATATAGGTAGGTCGATAGGATTTTCTGAAACTATAGCAACCCTGCACGAGGTAACGACCCGAGTGGAGAATATAATGCAACTGCATTTTGACACGATACATGTGCTGCAATGTACGACCAACTTGTATAATATACGTTTCTGCTTATATGTCACATGTTTTTCACAGATAATTTGCGTTTTAAAGACCTAAGATATTTTCAATAAATTATTGCAACGCACAGAATAATATATTGAAAATAATGTAAATATATATTGTTCTTTCATACATCCCTTTTATTAATAATCACGTTGCAAATTTTTATATGCATTATTTCGTAATATATACGAATACTGAAAAATCGTCAATTAAATTTATTATTATCTGTATCTGATCATTATAATCTTATTGGCGGTCCACCGAATCGATCTGCAATCTCCTTTTATTGTTTCGCGTATTTCTGGCAAAGCTTTTACTGTACGCACAAAAACTACTGCTTGCAAAGTGCTTTCGAACAAGGCTGTCTTCTTTAACCGAAGGTTCTTGATTCTGCGAAACATTGCCAGCAGCATGCGATTGTGGTAAATTTTACATTTCTCTCCGACTTGCACTTCTCGTAAGCTATAGAATATCTGATTTGTAATTGAACTGTTCCACTTAATCACAAGCAAAGCCAATAATAATTCTATAAATATTCATTTATTATATTTGCGAGACGAGAGTAGTCTTTTCCTTCTA